GGGTGATTTAAGTTAATGTCAAGATTAATAAATAAAAACGACAGTTCACCTGCTGCCCTTAAAGTTGACTCAGCATTAATGTCAGGGTCCAGACCAGAACACAGACAGAGTCTCTACTCACAACCGACACTTCCTTATAGATGACATTATTAAATTACCGACACTTCCTTATAGATGACATTATTAGATTACGTCTTATAATAATAATAATAATCTTAAACGAATAAACACATGTTACATGTTATACTAAGATATTCAAATAACGCAGAATCATAGAGTAAATCTGTATTTTATTTTAAACGTGCATAAAAAATAATAATTGAAAACAAAAAAGAAAAATAATATCTGGTCTCCCCTGCAGTACCTCCAGTTGAACACATGACAAACTGTTCATTCTAAAAAAAAAAGAAAAAGTGTATCTTCTACTAGTTACAGGTGGTTGGTTTATTTTCATCACGCGTGTCTAGTTTTTACACTTGATGCTCCTGAAGCCACGCAGCCTGAGTTTAGGTTCTGGATGGAATCGAACCCACAACCTCCCGCACCGCGTCCGCCCCATGTATATTTATCACTGTCCGATTTTCAAAAAATGTCTATGAATGAATCTGAATTTAGAACATTATCTTTATGGCTGCAACCACTGTATATGTGACAGTTTTTAAACACGCGCATGTTGTTAAAAACGTAAGAAAAAAATAAAAACGATTAAAAACAAATTAAATAGTTTTTATAATCCTTTTGTTTTGTAAAATAAAACCTGATCAAACTGGACCTGGACCAAAAACAGATCAAATCTACAACAAATATTAACAAAAGAGAAATATTATATTCATTTTTAAAGCATAAAAGTCCAAATAACACAGGTTAGTGTCAGGTTGTCTTACCGTGGACGGGGGTGACGGTCCACGGTCCACGGTCCACGGTCCACGGTGAAGCTGCTCTGTCCGTGCCTTCGTCCTCCATCTCACTGCTGTTTGCAGCTCTGAGTCATGGACGTCATTTATGCAGCTCTCTGCTGGCCGCGCTGCTCGGCCTCGTGCACGGGGCCGTGCGTGCGTGTTGATGGGATCCCGCTGCGACATCACGGGAAAACACGTCCTGGCTGCACCTGACGGTGTTCAAGAGTTTCTCAGCACTCTGTCTGGTCTGGTCTGGTCTGGTCTGGTCCAGCTGTCAGAGGACACACGTTAGAACGGACTGTTGTCTGATCCACATTCAGGTCTTCTGTCTGGTTTCAGTTCAGTTCAGTTCAGTTCAGTTTTTTTTTCCAGTCTTGAAATCATGAAAACACTGTATTTCCTCATTTTCTGCAGGATTAGATTTTGCTAAATTAGTTTTTATGGAAAATATATTTCAAACCTTTTACTGCTGCTGTAGGAAAAGAGAGAGAGAGAGAAAAAGGTAAAAAAAACAGAGCTCAAATTGATGGTTTTATTACTTTTTAAATACTGAAAGTTTCATGTTAGTTTGCATTTTTTGTATAATAACATAACATACATATCCACACATATATATGTGTGTATATATGTATAGTTGTTTATCAGGAGCAACTGTAATAGTAAAAATATTGTATATATTTTCATATGTTTGAGATATATACATATATAGATATATTATTATTCTATTATTATATATACATATATTATTTTATTTATATATATATACTGAATGTATTTGTATATATGGAATATATATGTGTGTATGTATGTCGTTTGTCATTTCCACAATAATAACAATAACAGTACATTTTCACTGCTGGACGTCTTTATTTGTCTGTGTATAAATACAAAATCCTGGTAAAATAACATTTCATTTCATTTCATTTCAACTAAAAGATATATTACAAATCGTGAAAACAATTTTAAAAAAATAAATACATGATTGCCACTTGCATGAATTACAAAAAAAAGAATAATAATAATAAAAATCATCAATATGATAAAACGGTCTGTACAACACTGAATACACTGAACACTGTACGGAAACCATGAAGTGCACGTTGACGCCACAGGCGTCCATCAAATACGTTTAACAGAGTTTAACAGAGGGCGGGGGTTTGGGGGGGGGTCACAGGAGAACCGGGGGGGGGGGGGCCACAATGTCCGTCAAGCCCGATTTACTGTGCAGTTTGCGGGGATCCTCGGGCGTCCACACCCGGGCGGTGCGGATGATGCTCTGCTCCCGGAGTTGCTTTTCATCCGACCAAGACAGAGAGTGACCCGCCAGGGGGGGCAGACCGTAGTCCGGGTCACTGAGGGAGGGGGATTCTGTGAAAAAGAGAAGAAGAAAAGAACATCAGGACTCAAATGTGGAACCGGCAAAAAAAATCTGAATTCAATGTAAATAAGTGGTTTCCAAAAGTAGAGGACGCGGACCGAGGGCACGGGTGGGGGGCCGGGGGGGTCAAAGACAAAGACGGAATCCAGACCGAGGCTGCACATTTAAAGTGAACTGAGACTGAAACCTGGACCAAAACTGACTGGGTTTTACTTGAATTTTCTTACTTTTACTTGTACAACTTTTTTTTTATTTACTTCGTTTATTTATTTATTTTTTAGCATTAATGAGAATAGAAAAGTAAGTAAAGTACAATTAAGTTCAGTAGCAACCGTTACAGAAAGTGAGAGGGATTATCTATCGACTTAATTATCTCTAATTTACGCACAAGTTTCCGTTTTCAAGTCTTTGAAAGATTTCTGAGTGAAACTCTGAGGTCCACCTACTTGTTCCTCGGTGACAGATGATGACCTTCTTGGGCTGCGCGTGCATCTCACTTGCGGAGTTCCTGATCGGGACGTCGGACTGCACCAGCTCCGCCAGGAAGTTGATGTAGCCGATGGCCAGCCGCAGCGTGTCCACCTTGGAGAGTCTCTTCTCGTAGGGCAGCGTGGGGATGTGCGAGCGCAGGCCCTCGAACGCGTCGTTGATGGACTGCATCCTCCGCCGCTCACGCACGTTCGCCGCCTGCCTCAGCTGCTGCATCTCTCTCTCAGAGCGCATGCGCCGCCTGCGTTTCAGCGAGGCTTCAAGGTGGTGGTGGTGGTGGTCAGCGGCAGGTGGAGACCTGTCCGGCGTACAAGAGGAAGAGGAGGAGAAGGACAGGTCCCCCAGCTCGTAGTCTCCGTCCGTGTCCACGCCATCCTTCCGGTAATAGTCCTGGAAGTGTCTGGTCAGGAAGTCCACGTCGTCGTCCAAGAAGTCGTCCGTGTCCATGTGTCCGTCTCTGGACGACTGGTCAGTGCAAAAGTCTTCATCGTCGAAGTAGGGCGTGTAAGAGAAGGAGACAAAGGTGTCCAGCACACTGTCCATCATCTCTGCGTGTCCCTCTGTCTTCTCGCTGTGTGTCCACTCTCTGCGCGACACCGGCTCTATTTTGGCACCGACACGCGAGGCTGGTTTATAGCGACAACCACAGTCGCGTGCCATTAGCCAGGAGAGCCAACCAATCACAGCCCGGTCCGCGAGACGCACAACAAGATAAAGACTCCCGGCAGACCACGCCCCCTAGCCTGAGCCGCACTTCTCTGTCAGCTGAGGCAAAACCCGGTGTATTCCATTTAAATGGACAAAAAGGAGAGAAAATATATTTCTCTTACTTTAAATGAGTATGAATTAATTTAAAGTATTTTTGTAGTCCAGAATTAATTATTTTTCACATTACAAATTTTGACATTACAACGATGTTTTTGGTCTTTAAAGTGTCTTCTGTCTTGTTTTTAACCTTAAATCGTACCATTCTGCCATGACATTGAACGCACCATTTGGGCAATAACGTATATTCTTCTATTTATCCTATTATTTATTAAATGAATCCGCAGTTTAACAGATATTTACGGTAAAATAGCTGTCCTTCTACCGCCCGACCGGTCTGTGGTATGACAGAAGTTTCCACCTTCTGAAAGTCGTTTTTTATTTTTTTTGTCCTTTAAGTAAAAAAGTAAAATGTTGGGTTTTTGTTATAATCACATGTAGAATAAACCCTAATTACAATTATATTTAATTAAAAAAAGGGTCACAGTAATTTATGGATTTCCAAAATAAATTCTTTAGTATTTTTCCTGAAAAGTTCCAGATCAGTGTGGCTGCGGGTCGATACGAAATGTAAAAAATAAACAGCACAATTTCGTGGTTCAAAATAGGAAAAATAATTTTAAATTGACTTTACAATTTGCTCAATTGAGTTTGTCTACACATATATAAAATAATATTGTTATATTAAATAAATACATATATTTCTAGATACTATTTCACTGTTATACATAATAATTTTAGAATTAATAAAAAAAATGACAGGGAGGTTCTCCGATATAAAGGCTGAAAAATACAAAAAAATATTTCATTTATATTTTTAAATTAAAGTTATTTTTTAGATTTTATATATAAATTCCAAATATATACATAAACATGTATCTATAATCACAGTGTGTCCATCTGATCCACGTTAACCTCCTGATTGTCCACCTGTGACGTTCTTACTGCCGCTGCTATTTATTTTGCGCCTTCATTTATTGCGCAGTTAAGTGAGCAGCGCTCGCAGTAAATAGGTGCACCAGTGGAGAGGACCATGCGCCACTTGTGCCACAGCCAGTGCGGTTTTGAAAGCGGAGCTGGTTTGACAAATAAAAGCCCAGTGGTGGGGCCTCGGGGCGCACGCCTCTCTGACACCTCACGCTCGCCGGTTACGGCCGTGCAGCGGCCGCAGCTCTGCTCAATAAACACGCATCTATTTAGTGCGTGCAGTGAAAAGGCTCGACTTTGTTCCGCAAACAGAAAGGGAACAGGCTGTGTGGACACCGACGGTGAGACAGAAAGCTGCAACACGGGCCGTGACCGTGGGAAACAGGACACTTGTGTCCCGCTCTGCAATCAATGCGACGTGTCGCCTGGTATAAATGGGTCTGTGCTGCTGCTGCTGCTGCTGCTGCTGCTGCTGCTGCTGGCCTCATAATTAATCTGTAACGTGGACAGCTTTATTACCAACAGGTACATACACGTCCTGGTACCAACCCAGCACTAAACACAACGGTGAACTGGAGAGGACTGTTGCTGTGACGTCACACACAGTCCCAACAACAGCAGCAGCGGCTGAAGGAGCATCAAGATATAAACATCTAATAAAAACGTGCTCAGTTATTCTCGTATAAATGTAGCAAAATACTGGGGTTCCTAAAGTGCGGGGCAGGCCCCTGAAGTGGGCACAGAGCCCTGACAGGGGTGCACCGCTGGTTAAAATAATTTTAATTTACATATTTTTCTTATTTGTCACACTGTGGAGAAGATGTACTGACTGCTGTTATAAATTATTGTTGAAAAAAAAACAAGTTTGTTGAAGTGTTCTTCAAAATAGGGGGCGCTGCAGAAAAAATGTATGAGAATCACAGGCAACGTTTTCTTAATGTTATCTATTACATATAAATTTCAACACACACACACATATATATATATATACATATATAGTACAGGTATATTGCTAGTGTTCCCCACAGGGCAACATTATGCAGATAGATAGATAGATGTTAATGTGTGTGTGTGTGTGTCATCTGGTTGAATACCACTTGTTAATTCGAACCGTGCAGGTTTTTAACGCACCGTGACCGCGCTCACCACGCCGCTCCATTGACAAACTTGCGGCCGTTCTGACCAGAACGAGCTGCGCGAGCGCACCAAGTGTCGCCCACCCACACACACACACACACACCGAAGACCCTTTGTTTAGAATCAAACATACATATTATTTAAGACTTTCATCAAAGTTCTTTTCTCTCCAAAACAAACGTTAAAGTTGATTTTTCGGTTTCGGTTTATTAAACAGTACTGAGTATTTATTTGGTTTTATCTCACTCTGGCCTGTGGGCGGTGCTCGACACGCATTTAAAGACTGTGATCTCGTTGTGATGGTGCGACACAATTTTATCATGTATCTAAAATATTATGAATAAAAAAATAAAAAAATAAATCAGAAAGATTTTATACACCTGAAAGCAACAAGAACCAAAAAATGTGACCTTTGACCTCTCAGGTGGCATCACATTTGCTGTAAAACTGACAACTGCTGAGTTTAATGTCAGTCCGTCCTCTGCCCTGATCTGAGCTACAGAAGATGAGTGAATGAAAATAAAAAACTCTGACCTTCAGGGTAAAACGTGTCGTCTCTGGGTACTAGAGTTCTTCAGAAGTACTGCTGACAATGTAGTAGTACTCGTGTGTAGATGGCCTGTCTGCAAGTGTAACAGGAAAAGCTGAAAGTGAACAAAGACAAAGAGAAAATTTGTCAAGATAATCCTCTTTCTCTCCGAGTGCTTCATTGGTAATCCCTGTAATCCCTCACCGTACATGGGATTATCCATCTGTAGGTCAACCAAATTAGAAGGATTTGTTGAGCAGTGATTAAACAAGTTGACAGAAGAGAACATCTTCAGCGCTGACTGAAAAAGGTTGTCTTTTTTTCCATGTCAAGGTCATTCGATCATTTTCAATCTTAAACTTGCCTTAAATTCTGATGTTAACTCCATCCTCCTCCTCCTCCTCCTCCTCCTCTTCCTCCTCCTCCTTCTTCCATCAACGCCTTTCTTCCTCATCTTTCCGCTGCTTCCTGTAGGGGTCGCCGGAGCAGATTCTTCTGTCTTCATCTCACCCTGTGTCGTTCTTGTCTGCCTGAAATCCCAGGTCTCCTTGTGGTGTTGACAGTTCAGTTAGTCCACACTATATGAACCAGTGACCTACCTTCACTTCACAGGTTCCTGTAAAAATCAAAGCCAGACCTGACGCTGCCGTTACGACTGTCACCAGTTGTTAGCAGTTATGTTTCCACTACTGTTAAACTTTGTACTGCACGTACTGCATGGAGCCTCTCTGACGAATGTGTTATTCATCAGACCCTTCTCTTCTCTCCCCTCCTAACCCCTTTCTTTCCCCCCATTTTTTCCCTTCACTCTTCACTTCTTCAGATCTCTGAACAGGAATCGTACCAACAAACAGATCCGCCCTGGAGGCCAGTCAGATATCATCATCATTTATTACGGGCTCATCAAAATCTATGGAGATTGGTTCATCTCTTTACAATACAACATAAAATTAAAAGTCAAATCAAAGTGGCCGTTTGGAGACAGAATCTCCAGGAGAGATAAAGAAAAGCAAAGATCAGGAGCGTGGATCAAACAAATACACCTCGGATATAACGTGTGAAATACCAATATAGTGTTTTTTCATGCATCAGTTATTTTCTGTACAAACACAACAGGTCGGTCGAGTGGTACGAGTGGACAGAGGTCAATGTACAGCTGGACTCTAGGAGGCTACTAGACCTTAGTGAGTAGAGAAACGAGGAAGCACTTCAGAATCTACACACACACACACACACACACACACACACACGGCCTGACTTCAACTATATGTACAATTATGAGGACATAGAAAAGTATTTACTAATTCACAAACACACTCACTCACACACACACACACACACACAGTCGACTGGACTCTGATCTTTAACAACTACATTTCCCATCAGTTCCTGTAAGTAAAAAAAAAACTCAATCACCTGATGTTTATTTTTAAAATAACTAAAGTAAAAATGTGAAATGTCTCTTGGGTTTTTTTTACAAACAAATACTTTGTGAAAAACTGTAAACTCATTCCACATTTTTCAATACGCAAAACCTTTAAATATTCATTAGTACGAAGAATGAATAAAATCTGAAATGAATTGAACCAAATAGAATAACAATAATAATAATATAAAAATCAGTATTTCTGGTTTCAGAAACACAACGTACTAGTGTGTCAGAGTCAAAACTTTAAAATAGGAATATTCACACACACACACACACACACACACAATTAAAATCACTGATGTCAAAAGCTTTTTAACTAAAATATACTTTACTAAATTTACTTTAATTGGATCCATTTCAGTTTGACTCGTTAAGTTAACACTAATTACTGCACATAAATTCATTGCATCAACAAAACTAATTTTTTTTTTTCTCAGCGATTAATCGCCTGCTAACACTAATTACTGCACATAAATTCATCGCATCAACAAAACTAAATTTTTTTTTACTCAGCAATTAATCAAAAAAACAATTAAATGCTTTAAATGTTTATGGTTCACAAAATATATCATTAGAATATCTTTAGTGGCACTAAAATTCAATTTAAAAAATATTTTTTTTTACTTTCAAAAAAAATCTGTCAAGTATAAAACAGCAATTTAAATGGACTCTAATATCAGATGGTATGTCGTTATTTCCTTTAAAAGTTGATCATCGTTGAATTGTTTGATTTGTTAAATACAAATGTAACTTCACGTCAATCTACTCTCCAAGCAAACTAACAAACACGCGCTACTGGAACACCAGAACAGTGCTTGACTAAAGGAATGAATAAATTTATAAATAAAGAAATGAATAAATACATAAATAGAAAAGTCCTTCAGCATCTCTTTAGGGCAATTTCTTCTTCCATAAAATGGTATTTTACATTAAATATGGGCCACTGTTATTGTCATCACCATCATTTCAACACAGAGGTAATCAGATCCTGTACAAAATTACATCCTCCCTACACACACACACACACACACACACACAAAGTTCCCCAATTAATTGTATAAACACATCATCATCTGTAAAACCCAACTATTTCACTTGTGATTTCAGGATCATTGCACGACGGAAATCACTGGCAGTTACTTCGTGTTGTCAACAACAAAAGTCGGAATACGCGACAGTTGTATAAATTAGATCATCCCATATAAAAAAAACGCATTTCCAGCCGCAAAACGTGGCCGGAGAACAGAAGAAACCCTGATGGATGTTGAACTGTAGCAGGAACAAAGTGACCCGTTCACCAAATCCACCCAGTTCACTCCTGCTGCTCCTGTCTTCACAGTACAAAAGAGTTAGGTGTGCTTCTTCCCTGCATATTGTTCAGTGTCACTCTGGCAAATTAGTGTTGACGAAGGATGGAGTGTTTCATAGAGTGGGGTCAAACAGCTGAACACTCTGAGCCGACAGGGGCGTCAGACTTTAGCTGAATTCTTTTTCAGTGAGACTTAAAGCTTTGTGGTATTTGACAGTTACATGGTAGAATAGGTTTGCATGTGGTTTGGACACATGACCTCATAGGCTGAACCTAAAAGATGAGCCGATACCAATCACAGTATCACCCGAAACTCGAGAACACGCCGACACTCCATCAATAGGAAGGTCCGATATGGACCAAACACTCCGATAACATCGGTTAGCCGATGTTATCGGACGTCCCTACTAATCACCATAACCAGCTGTACACACTCCAGACAGTGTTGTGTTTTCCTACTGCAGTTCCATGGCTCACTGCCCTGTTGGGTATTACAGTATATTGAAGTAGGTCAACAACGTCAGCAGTTTGGAGGTATTTCATCATCAGGGACGATTTAATAAAACGCCTGAAGACGCATTTTAGTGCTGAACACGCTAATGCCCACCCCCCCCCCCACCCCCCTGTTTAACGACACAGTGGATAGATGAGGAGTTTACACCTCACCTCCAGTCTATTTTTGTTGAGACGTATTAAACCACTTTCTATTATTATTATTATAACCCAAACTTAAGAGGTTTTGGTGACAGTACCTGGTACACTGTACACTGATGTCAGTTTCTAAAATAGAATTTAAATGGAAAATATCCAATACAGGGAGAGCAGGGGGGCTGATCGGGGGCTCATGCTGTACATGTCTCTGTTGTCCATCGTGTTATTGCTAGGTGTAGGTCCCAGGACCTCTTCATCTGGTCTGGCTCTTCATCACATGAACCCTGCGCTGTTTGAATGAATCCATATTTTGGCGTTAGGTTTGACTGACAGACTGGTTGTTAAGGTGCGATAAAAAAAGTCAACGATAGAAATGGATATAAAGTGCATTTAAAATAAGTTTTTATCGTGAAATTTGGCACGGCCATTAATGTGACGGTCTTTTATTTTGAAAGCTGTGGGTTCGTCCTCTGTCTCCTAGGTGGACTTTTATATTTTGACTTTTATTTTATTTTAACTATACGAAGACACACACACAAAAAATGAAACATGATTTTACATGTACTTGGAGTTTGTCTCTTCTAACAGTGTCTCCGACATCTTTAGCATTTTAATTTGCTTAATGGCTTCACGTGTTCTGAGGATTTGGAAACGACAGGCGCCTCATACAGTCTCCTGTGTTGGACACTTGTGTTGTTTTGGTCATTAAACACTTTGAAGAGCTGTTGACAGGGAAAAAAACTCCTTGAATCCTTAAATCTGATTAGAGGACTGGAGAAAACACACGTATAAAGTGTTTTTTTCTTGTTGATATGAGTCAAAAAGTTCTAAGACACGTGACTGTCAAGATATGACCTTACTATTTTATCAAGACTGGATCAAGACTAGTTTTTTTTTGCTGACTCCCAAACTCCCAAACAAAGTTTTTCCCAGACTTTTTCTGCAGAGCCCCACTTTGTAGATTTGAACTCTGCACACCTGAGGGGGGACAGTAGGAGGGGAGGCTTCCCCCACTTTAGGATCCACTGCCGTCACCTAACACAGCGTAGAACTTGACAAAGTTAAAATGATGAAACTTGTTGATATGTTAGTTTTTAAAAGCTGTTGAAACCATAACTTATGTCTTGGAACTTTTTGACTTGTAAAAATACAATAGAATGCTATGGCTAGTATGGCTCAAAGAACATGGCAACGACATCCTTCACTTCTAAACGAACGACAGACACACCGCTCTTTTTCATTGGCTCGTTTTTTTTTTTTTACAGCTTCACCTTCAAACCGACAAACACACGCTGCTCGAAGCCGGGCGGAGGATAAAGTGCTGTGAGGGCAGCGTTACTGACACCGTGTCACACATCCACGTCACAACAACACGACAGCTGCACCTGACTAACAGTAGTTATTGATGGCTTTCTGTGTGTGAAGAGGACACGTACGAAGACGAGTGAGTGTGTGTAAGGTACAAATCACAGTCTCCACCTCAACAGTAGCATAGAAATGACTGGTGAACACACATGTGGAAGTGGACTGCACGAGGCAAAGGCCGTGGCCTCATAGTGCAAAAGCCAAAAATTCAGTTTTGAATCAATCCCCTGAATGGATTTTATCTAATGTCTTTGTATGTGAACATGGCTCTAAGTATTTAAATAATGTAGGAGTATGACTTGTTTTTTTATTTATAAAATAAGTATCAATTCTACTTTTTTGTTTAATAGCCAAAAGGTTAATTAAACCCCAGGTAACCATCGGCAGTAGTTCATGTGTTCGTCCACCTGGGGGCAGTGTGACATAAGCTCTGAACTGCAGCTGCCTAAAGGTTACCATCACTGCTCCTTGAACTCATTAAGCAAATTGAACTTACAAGTCATTAAGTTCAAATCAACTTGATGACTTGTACAGCTGCTGGTCACAGCACGACCAGACAGAAGGTGGACGATGGAGAGAGAGTCTCAGATGTGAAGCTCAGGCTCAGGCTACTGTTTAGTTAGAGAGCATTTTTGTTGGCCATTTCTTTTTTTAAATATTGATTGTCACTTGAAGCACTGGCAAAACTTAACCTTATTCCAGAGCCAGCAGAGATTATTCAGCTGTGAGTTAACTGGATGGGTGCTGTCTGTTGCTGAATCAGGATGTGATGAATGTAAGATTGCACACTGACCCCGGTGATGAAATGCATTACACTTCCACATAGATCCAGACAGTGTTAATGTAATTTGATGTGTCTGCATGTGTGTGTGTGTATGTATATGTGTGTGTGTGTTTCCTGTAGCGTTCCTTATAGCCGTGTCTGAGCCTCTGGGATGTAGATTTCGATACTGTCGGCACTCTCTGTTGCAGAGTTCTGTCGTATGGATGCTGCTCTCTTGGCCGCCATCAGTCGCTTCCTGGCCTCCAGCCGCTGCTTCTCAGAGCTTTCCAGTGAGCGGTCCCGGGCCAAGGGAGGGTGGTGATGATGGGGACCCTTGGGTGGCTTTTTTGGCACAGTCGGTGGGAGCCGGATCTCCTGGGGGGAGAGGAAGGTGGTGAGGGGAGTGAAGGGAGGAAGGAACGGAGGGAGGGCAGGCACATCCAGTTTTTACACTTACTTTAATACGTAGAGCATGTGTCAAAAACAATATACTATACAACAAGCACATCTTCCCCTCTGTGTCTCCTGTAAACCTGCTGCGTCATGTTGTGTGGACAAGTTTAAATGATCCAAAGTTGAAGAAGTGGAACAGGAGGCTCACAGCTGACTGTCTGGTTTCTCTAACATGCAAAAAAAAATGAAAACGTAGAAACACAGAAAATAGAAAACGAAGGACGAGACTATGAAAAGATAAATAAATAAATAAAATTAAACACCAACATGATGGATGCACAGAGGTCAAAGGTGTCATGGCTCTGCAATGCTGGGGACTGTATCAACATAAAGCACAAAGATTTAAACAATGAAAAATATTATACACATAACATCACTCACACAAGCAAAATAAAATAAAATACATGGACATGGAATTGACACTTGATACAGTGTGTGTGTGTGTGTGTGTACCTTTCTCTCAGGTGGATCTAGAGGTCTCCAGTTTTGGGCCTTGAGCTGGTGAAGCTCATCAAACTTCAGGCTAATGTTTTCAATAGACAGCTGGAGCATGTCCCACAACCCAGCCAGGTCTGAGGCCACAGGGCGGGGGTGGGCGTTTGGATTCTAGCACGGAACAAATAAAAAAGAAAAAGTTGTTACTTTTTATATTATAAAACTGGGGGCATTTTAATTACATACAATAACAAAAAGGACATTTTTAAAACACTGTCATCGAGTACAAGTACTGACCAGGTTCTCTTCACACAGTTCCCTGAACTGCTGGAACTTCTGGGACATCAGAAGCTGAGCACTTCCCACGGCACTTCTCATCTTTCCCAGTACTAGCAAAAAAAAAACAGTGAGGAGAATAATTTTCCAGTCAACCGTTTGTGGATGACTGACACTGACAACTGTGTCCAAGACTCAGACTCCTGTTGGATAACGCAGTTAGAAAAGACAAAATGGTCTGAAACACTGACAAATAAAGACCTACTGTCTTCCGGCAGGTCATTCTCTTGTTGGTCCAGCTCCATCTGTCGACACCAGCCTTCCATGCGATCAGTCTCCGCCTGCAGCAGCTTGAGAAACCAACGTCCATCTCTTTGACACACTGAGCGCTCGACTACCTGCACACCAAATACAGTGTACACTCACACTGGTGAGGTTTTAGTAAACACTTTAGTACACATGGGTTGCTTTAATTTAAGTAGCTGCAGAGTCAGCTCCAGCCATTGGTGGCGCCCTAGACAAGAGTATGGTTTGATGCCACACATCCTCGACAGCTGTCTGACAGCACTGATAGTTTTTTTCAGACTTAAATAAAAATAAATATCATAAATGAAACTACAATAAAGTAACCAGAGTCCTGACTGATCACATAATGTGAATAATGCTGTGTTAAAACAGCTCAAACAATGAAATTTAATACAAGAACAGAATACAAAAAGTTAGTATAATTTAGTATTTTAATTTTGCACGAGGAAAAGGCTCCAATTGGCACTAAAAATTATTATTAATTATTATTTTATTTAACCTTTAAAATATTTTAGAGGGCTTGCAGAATCGCTCTCTCCAGCAGATGGCATCCTAAGCGATGTCAGCACTGCGATAAACATCCTGTTCTTACAACTTAAACCAATAAAATCCTACATACATCCAGTATAGACGAGGTGTTGAAGTTAACGTCCAGTGGGTCGTCTGTTATGCTGTCAATCCATGGATCTGGAGGTGGCAGGATGGACGGGTCAAAGCCCACGTCCTCATACTCATCAGAGGCACAGGCATGGTAGTGGTTCCCCGACCCTTGGATGCTAACGGTCGAGCTGGCAGCATCGCGGGAGTACTGCCGACAGAGACCCCCGGAGGAGAGGAATTCCATAGCGGTGTCTGGAGAGTCCAACAGGTCAGGCCTGTCCAGATCTGCCTGGATGTAGGATGAAGTGATATTAATGTCTCACTGTGTGAAACGGCAGCGTCCTCTCAGTCTTGGTACAGTCTAAACGATGTCTAAAGGTGTGGGGAAATACACAGGATGACACAAACACAGATGATATACGGTGTTGTCAGAAATAATGTCAAATGTCAATCCGTGAGGAGTCAGGCTGAGAGAAACTAGCGGCGTCTTCCCGCCTTCTCACTGGTGACTCAGACAGTGTCAAATCACAGTCAGTGCTAAGACTCTGGGGGATGCAACATATTAGTGATGCAGATGCAGGAGGCTTGGAATGATGTGATGTTTTGGCCAGTCTTTTCTGAATCCACAGTTAAAGGTGACAGTGGAGACTTACCTGCACAGCTGCAGTCACACTGTTGGAACGCTGGAACCGTTGATACCTGTCAATCAAACAATCAACAAGAAGAAGAAAAAAATCCTTTTCACTGTTGGTGTATTTTTTTAAAACACAGACTGACAGGTGTCTCTGTTAGGGTGCATTTGTGGATCACTCCAAAACTGGGATGTGACCCATTGTGTGCAATGTGATTCTTACCCTCTGGCATCCTCCACTTGAACCCCGACAGACGTGAACTTGGATGGATCCTCTGGATCGAGGACCTCCTCTGGTCCATCAACCTAAAAGAGACCAGCAAACTACATCTCTAATCTGTTGAAAATAGCAATAAGAAAACATAGACTATTCTGTCGTCTGACTTATTAATCCAGAGACTGTTTTTATGTTGGGTTTGTGGCCTTCAGATCTACTTGAGGACCAGGGGTCAGTGTTTGTATAAAAGCCTGAGTGGAGAAGACCAGAGATGATGTTCTGTCCTCTCTCAAGGACAAAGAAAGACTTCAAATGAAAGACATGGTATGTGAGAGCGACTGCAGCTCCTTTTCCACCTCAGCCGGTGTTTGTCTTCCTGTGAGAACACTTTTAGACGTGGACATTATAGGTCTATAATTTACAGGCAGCCAACTGCTTATTATTTCCTCCTTTGTGTTTTCACTCTGTGTACCTGGATGCCTATGGAAAGACATTTGCCCTTCCTGAACATTTCCTTCCTGTAGTTGTCCTGGCGGTCGTCATTGTGTGGCCCCCTGCCCATGATGGTGGAGGCGGGAGGGTTGACTGTCATGGTGCTGTTGCTAACATGCTGACTAGCCGGTCCATGGACCTGTACGTGGATTGTAAAGGGACGTGTTTAGACACAGACTTTGAGGACAAGGTGCAGAAAATCAATAAAAACACTGAACACGAGGAACTGTCAAAAGTGAAACTGAAGACGTTCCAAGACAAATAAATAATCTAAATTTATGAAAACTATTTGTAGACACTTAGTCATCACAACCTGCTTTTTTTCACTAAGCTGAGACCAGATCAAAACATGTTCCAGCTGCTTTAAAAGGTTTAAATATTTTAACAGATTTCTATTTAAATTTGGTTTAATATTTGATGTTTGCTCAAATTTCAAATTTCTTTAAAAACTTAACTTTATCAGGGTTTTATGATTAAAAAAAGATCCAAGATCATCTTAAAAACATATTCACTCAACAATACATTTCTATCACCTGTCCCTACACTTGACTCAGGCACAGATCACACAGGCAGGTTAGTTGGTGTTTTTTCTTGTATGACATACAGTAGAAATGACTAACCTGTGCATTTGCAGCCTCTATAGCAGCAGTCAAGGCCTTCATGCTGTCAATGCTTTCTGTGGAGTTACTGAGCCCAGAATGGATGGCCATGTCACCTCTGTGTCCTTCCTCCTCCATGTATGCATCCTGTGTGGGCACCGACGTGAAAACACCGCATTTAGCAGCACGTTTAGCTTCAACATGAAGTTATAGGAAAACGGGAAGAAATATATATTTATCCACACAGCCTGTCATGACCCAACTTTGTTCTAGATGCATAATGCTGTTATTACTTCTTTTCTTATCACACTGTCAATAAAAGCTAATGAGAACAAGATCATTTTTTTTGGTAGCAGAGTGAGGTCAACATCAAGTATTTATAAAACTTTTAGTTTTTTTTCCTGAAGTCTTTGATTTACCCTCGGCCCCTGCCCACAATAAATCAAACCAGCCACAGAGATGCAGCGATCGGAAACTTTTGCTTCATATATTCTACAACTTAACTGTCTTTTACCTGTGCTGACTCTGTGCTGCTCTGGGCTGTGATGGAGATGTAAGGCTTAGATGCAGTAGAGCAGGTGGTGGTTCGTGGTGGCACTGGTGGAGGGGTTTTCTTATATGTGGTGATGCAGGACGAAACTGTAAAGGAGAGAAAAAAAACACAGAAATAAGAAAGAAATAGAAATAAAGAATAGGAAATAATATGTCAGAATAAGGTATAAAATATCATTACTATAAATAAGTTATGTTCTTTGCAGAGACTTCTATATTAAATTGTTCCTTTAATACCTCAAATTAAAGGGGTTGAGGAAGGGCTGGGAACAGGATGGTCCTGTGAGTGAACCAACTGTGACAATTATGAGGGGACACAGGGAGGATAATACTTTACGTTTAAGAACTTGGACAGATATGAGTAAAAACAATAACTATTGCCACTGACTGTTTCAATAAGAGAACAAAATACTTTCCCAAACTCCACACAAACACACAGCAGGCTGTCTTTTGCTCCTTTGACTTATTACAGTTCTGTTAATCCATTTTATTCACAGCATGTGGAATTAGACTTCCAATTTGCTCCAAGTGATAGTTAAAGTTTAGTTCCACATCACCATAAAAGGGGTTGTTTTCCAGGGTTGAAATATTTACCAGTTAAAAATTAACACTGTAGGGGGCAGCAATGTGAAACAATGCACCCCCGCAGGGAAGGATAATAACCTACACATATGTTGTGTGTGTTGAATAATTATGATCAGTTCAGTGGCATCATGGAAAACATTACAGACAAAAAAAATGCCATGTTAACAAAAGAGATGTGTGATTGATGACGAGTTTAATACAAACATCCACACCTGTACTGCTCTGTATGGTCCTGACGGTGGTGGGAGTTCGTGGGGGTGAGGAGGGCAGTATGAGCAGTGGACGTCCTCCTTCTTCCTCGTCCTCCCCCGCACAGCCTTGGTCAATCGCTCTGACGTAGCTGTGACTCCTCATACGGAAGCATCCCGGCATGGGCAAGGTGTCCATGTTGTCCATGGTGTCCATGGCAGACTCCATGGCTTGAGACTTCATCGCACTGTAGACCTGCTCACACACCTGCTCGATCTGTCCGTTCAGCTCCACCTCACTCAGCTGGAGGAGGCAGGAGGACCAATGGAGAAGGTAAGATCTTCATACAGTTGGAGGACTATATTCATTACTGCTACTGTTCAGTTGTTCAAGCTTTATTTTCTAAACACCTCTACTGGTCAGGGTCAGGGTGTGATCAGATCTGTGTGACTTTAGTCATTAACTGTGATCGTAGGACATCAAATCAAATTAGCCAAAGAAATGTTGTGAATGTTTACTTAAAAAGGAGGGCACTGCACTGCCTCGTTTATAATTTACCATGGCTACTGTTCAGACAGTAAGGACAGGGGCAACAATACTAGCAACGACGGATGCAACAATGCCATACGGCCATAACAACCATTTGGTCATACTTTGTCTGGAGCTCCTCTGAGTGTATCGTTACAGTCCTACTAGCAACCGACCTGACTGATGGTGCTCATGGCTCTCATGTAGCTCTCATTTCGAGATCGATATTGGGGTGAGGACAGCAGCATTTTGGGGTCCAGCAGGGTTTTGGGGTCCAGCTTATCCAGGCTTCTGTTGATGGAAACCTCACTCACGGCACGCAAGTAACTGTGGCTGCGGATCTGAAGTTTAGGAGAGTGCTCCGTGGAAATCCTTCAAGATCAGACAGACAGACCAACAGTGGTGTCCAGTTAATGTAAAACTTCACTGAACTTCACATCATACATGATTGTTTGTTTCCCAAGGTTTTACAAAAAGACAGCTTGACTTTTCTCCACGTTATTGCTGCTCTAGATAAGATAGATCTTAAGGACTCAGAGAGATGGAAGACACCAGACTGAGGTCACCTTAACATTAGGTTAAATTAATGTTTATAAGAGAGCATTTACTGATTAAAGTTTATTTTTATTTTTTTGGTTTTAAATTAATTACAAATATGTCCTTTTCCTATAGAGACAATATTATACAAAGTGTTTCCAAGTCCAATCTTACTCCTTGGTCTGCAAAAAGAATACCAAAGAGTTAAAGTCACAGAATTAAAATTAAATAAAACATATCAAAAACCGTATTAAAGGTTGTTTGGATGTTTAAAAATTAATTTAAAAATTACAAGCTAAATATAGAAGCGCAAAAGAATAATAGTGTAAATGCACTGACAACAATGGGGCAACAGTTTGTGTTTTATATCTTACTGTAACGTTGTCATCTCAGTCAGTGACGGCTGTGTCGCTTTCAGGTAGCTGGCTCGACGAGCCTGGATCTTGGGAGAAGGTTTGGGACTCCCAGAATCAGAGTCCCCGCTGTCATCTTCAGCCATGGCTTTGACGTAGCTGCCGCTTCTCATCCTCCGACAGGGGATGTCTTCCTCCTTCCCCAGAAGGGAGAAGCCGCTCCACTCATCCTGAGGTACCTGATAGTAGTTTCAGATCGGAGAGAGAAACGTCACACCAGAGAATTTAACAGCAGAGTTGTCTAAGCCTCAGGCACGACATCATCTTAGTGGAGCATGATGCCAAGACAAACCAACATAGGGTACGACAAAATACAATCACCACACAGATAACACACGAGCATCCGAGACCAGTACACACAGCTGCGGATCAGTCTGTCTGCTAATTAACATGAAACACTCGGCATATGTGTGTGGGTCAGTTCACAATTTCTGTGTGGTTAATAACGCATCTTAATTTCCTGGAGTATGTGTCCGCTGGCATGTGTGAATACCTCTACATGTGTATGTCTGTTCCACTCTATGCTGTTTTATATGTATTTGTCACTGTTACGTTTTCATTGAAGTCGGTCCAAAGTCATGGAAAAAAACTTTTCCATCTAACCTCCTGCATGTTAAGCAACCAAGAAATGTCACAGACAGTTAGATATAATACCTGGGTTTAAACTATGTGACAAAAATAACCAGAGACTACACTAACGCTCCGCACACGTGATGATCTGAGGTGAACTTCCATCGTGTCACTATCTGCACCTTATAATCTTCGCCTGTCTGAACATGCAAGACACAACAGCTCATTAGCTTTAATTAGCCACACCTTTTAGGTGTAATTATGCCAGCAGCAGTGTGTGCTGTGTGTGTGCGGCTTTTACTTCCTTCAAACAGGAGGCAGTGTGACAATTTGACAGACAGTAACAGAGAAAGACAGCAGGAGAATAGCACTGCTAGTCTGACTAATTATATATGAATCATCGAAGGACTGAGGCTGAGCCGTGCTTTACGGTGTACGTGTGTGTGTGTGTGTGTGTGTGACGTCAAAGACACACAAATGAGCAGTTTGGCTATAAAAAGAGAATGCGGGGAGAGGACCAGCTGCAGAAGCATCAGTAGATCGTCTCACCCACGCACAGGCCTCACTTCCACTGTAATGGCTGAACAAAAGTGCATCATTGCTTCCTCTACTTCACTCTGCGTCTTTGGTCTGGTAATCAAAACACCCCTGTAAAACGCTTGCCAAAGCCCAACGATAGAAATTATTATCCTGGCACAGCACTCTCATTTATTCCAACATCACCGTCCCAGGCTGCTCTGGAATCCGTGACTGTATTGTCACTTTCTATCAAACGCACTTCCGGCAACCATTTTCCTCGACAGCTTTCATACTGTACTTTAGCAGGTAAGTTTTTCGTGGTCTGCAACACTGAACATATAGTCGGTCAGAGGGTAAATTCCTCCAACACGAAATGCGTCAGACGCAGATGAAAACTAACCTCTGGACAGACAACTGGAACTTTCTTGAAGAGTAAAGAGAAAATACAGTAAAAACAATTCAACTCTAGATCAACGGGGAATATTGGTGGACCAAAAAGAAGGACATTCGTTTGAGTTCTACTGAAAAATAAATAAATAAAGTCGTGTAGATATAGTCGCAATATCACCTATGAGAAACTGGCATTTGAAACGCATGTAATTACTGTGTAACAGCAGCAGTGCTTACACTACAAACACACACACACACACTCACACACAAAGACTGGGACTTGAACCCAAGACACTGATTATCTTTCTGTTGGACAAGAATCCCACCCACTTCCTCCACCGTTGGCCAAAATTATGTTCTCACTAAAATATTTATTTTTTTCTAAACCAATAAAATAAATGGTGAGCTCTGTGAAGCTAATGTCAATAAAACATTTTAAACTATCGTGAATATACTTTACAGCGCTGCTGATTCCTTCCATATAAATCTGCAGTACAACGTCAGTACCTTTTATATACTGCACTACTGCCATCGTGAAATGTGTTTGCAGCACTTGGTGAATTTATTTTGTAAGTTGTAAACGGATTGAATGGTGGCTGTTGAGTTGTTACGGCTGTAGACTCACAGTGAAGCGTGGACTCTCTTCAGTTTTAATAAACACTAACAATCTGAGCAGTTAAAAACCTCCCCGGGCATTTCAGACGACAACGACAACACTTTCAGCACACGGCTGAACACGACAAAGAACATTACAGAGAGACGACAGACAGTATGTAAGAATGAAACAGTTCAGTCTATTCTGAAGCAGCTATTGTTTCGCCGTCGTCAGACTGCAGCCCAGTGGACAAATATTCCCTCTGTTCTATTTTCTTGGCTTCACCTGTGAAATCGTGAGGCTACCTCATTCTCACATACTGTCTATGGCAGAGGTCCCCAACCCCTTTTTTTTTTCTACAGTGTGGGAAAACAAACAGGACAAGAAAAAAATCATATGACAGACATGGGAATAAATATTAAGGTCTGAGTCAGTGGGTTCACTGAGCTTGTTTCTCTGCAACAACATTGTTTAAACTGAGGGAATAGGGAGGTGGAGGGGGGGGCAGTGTCAGCTGAAGTGTGATTTATAGTCCAGTCCACCCCAAGCAATTTTGTTTTGGTTGTCACTGTAGATCTATAGAACATTGCTTCAAAGAGAAAGGATGTTTATAATGTAATAAATCATTTTAATCTTATATTGTTGTTTAGTTTTGGGTATTTATTGAGAATAAACCATCTTTCAGAGTAATAAAAATACGATGTTGTTTATTCTTAGTACCCACTGACCCAGGACCCTTGGCACTGGGAGGGAGACCTCTGGTGGATGGGTTGGAAATGATAACTGGCACATTAGCACATTAATGATCTCTAGAAAGAAAAGAAAATGTTGTTTGAGTCATGAGTATGTGTTGTTACCTAGTGGTCAGAGAGTAAGGCTGCTACTGACTCTGCACTTACTTCTCTCATCAACTCAAAAGGAGTGCAGAGGAGGAAGAGGACAAGGCAGAGGGAGGCTGTCCAAACCAAGATGTAGATTAAGGAGGTGGGGGATGAGTTGGTGGGTGGAGGAAGGGGTGTGGGTTAGAAGCCTGGCTGGGTTTTTGGGTGAGTGGAGAAAAGAGGAGTAAAAGGGGGTGAGGGGGGTGTCGTCAAAAAAGAGAGGGTATGTGAGGGGAAGTGGCAGTGAGTTTCCTCAGAGTAATAGACTGGTGGTGTGAAGTAATGTTCCCTCTGAGGCAGAAGACAAACTACAGGCTGGTTCAGAGCACAGCACATTTCAGCTGTAGATTACAAATAAAGAAAGATGGGTTCAACTCAGGAGTCGTGTATTTTTTACTGTGTTCCCAGTCCCTAACAGGTAACTGACGGAATCATCTTTATTGGTCAGTTTAAAATACATTAGCAGCACCTGCTTTAAAATTGTATTTTTGGAAGAAAAAAAAATCTATGTATTATATGTGTATACAATATAGTAGAAATGTATTTATTATTTTATCTATTTTGTGTTTTTTGCTACAAATACAGAATATATACATTTCATTACTGCATTACCATTTGTCATGTGACCTAATAACATAGGAGCTTTGAGAAGCAACCCCATGTGCATGTAATATGATGTTGATGACAGCTCTGAAACTGAAGTAAAAGTTAGAAAAACCTGCCGTGCTCCCAGCTGTAGTGTGTCCGCAGCCTCAGACACCGAGGAAGAGTCATATCTTCATTTATGAAAATGTTTCAATTCAACCAAACACTTAGGAGTTTGAACAGGTTTGAACAGGTTTGAACAGGTTCTGGACTTTGACCAGACACACACGTTCATTAATGACTGACTGTCGTTTTTCTTATATTTAACTGGTCAAAAAAATAAACAATTATCTTTGCAGAATGGATATTTGATACAATAAATTAAAAACTAAAACATTTATAAAATGTCAAAAAATGTGTTTTCTAACCTGATCAAATAAAATGTAAGTCTATGTAATAAAATAAAGCTCTGGAATTAAAATGACAAGATCTGTCTCTTTATGTATAAGTTCATAAACTTGTACAGCTTTTGAAAGTCTAAGAAAGTTCTCAGACGAGATTTAAGCTTCCGTCCTCTTAAGAAACAATACCTGTTTTTTTACCAAACTAAATAAATATTATATCTAGATTAAAAAAGAAATCGGATTTATTATTTTCTCAACGTCAGGATTTGACAGTACACTGTCAGAAGAACAGCTTTTAAATCACCGGCCGTGAACCAACAACAAAGTGTTTGGCAGAACAGAAAACCTTTCGTCTCACGTGTCAGAAAACTACTGTGTTAGTGGAAACATTGGTGAAAAAAGGAAGTTGTGGAGAAAAAGGAATTAATAAGGGGAGTAGGGGTGGTGGTAAATTAACTGGTTTTGGGTGAGATTGGGGGAAGAATTATTTACCTGTAAGAAATGGCATGTGGGCTCCTGCTGCTGACTGCCCTTAGATATGACTAGAGCTCTATCTAGGTTTAGGTTACCAGACGTAGCACTGGATCGTGGCTGGTTGTGGCTGCTGGTGTTGGTGTAGACCTCTCGGGCCCTGCTCACCGTAAGGCTAGATGACCAGGCCCCTTTCTTCACAAGGGGCGCATCCACAAGGCCCAGTGGCAGCAGGGGGCCACTTCCTCCACCGACACCGCCACTGTTGTTATTGCTGCTACCACTAACTGGCACACGAGCTGACGGAGCTGCATACTTCACATCGCTGTTGCTTCTGGAGGCTTCGAGTGCAGAATGGTGGTGTGAGTGACCATGGTGAGTGTGTATGTGTTCACTGAGTGTGCCGTAAGGATCGATCATGAAATACTGTTGGGACTGTGAGGAGGAGAGACTGGGCAGGGGAGTCTGGGGAAACCTGTCGGGGTTGTTTGAAGGGTACCGGCCCATCGTCATGGCGATAGGTGAGGGGGAAATGGAGGGTGTGGGTGAAGGTGGAGGATGGTGGTAGTGAGGGTGGTAGAGATACAGCTCTCGTTCTAGGTTGTCATCTGAGCTCCAATATCCCGAACCTGGAGCAGATGCAATGCCGTGGAGCTGGTGGTGATGGTGGCTGCGATGCTTGGGCTCGGCTGAACGACAGCGCTCACGGCTCTTGCTGCGCTTCCGATGGCGCACTCCCACTGGAGTTTCACCTTCTGGACTGGCCCTTGAACCACCACCACCACCACCCACACCATTAATGCTCTCATTATTGACACCCTTAGTGGACTGAATGTGGTGTGGGCCCTCCAGTGAATGTGACTTGGTGAAAAGTTTCTGTACTGAGTGGACCAAATGGCGAATTCTCCCTGGGCTGTCATTGTTGTTGGCCCCCATCCCCCCACTGTGGGCCATCACTCCTCGTTTGTACTGCAGTGTATGGTACCCATCTCTGGAAAATGAAGGCTGATGTTCAAACGGGTCCACAAAGTGTGCTGGTCCCCGCATTTTACTTTCATAGCCCCCACCAGCTCTTCCTCTTTCTCCTCCTCCTCCTCCTTTTACATATGGTACCATGGCCATACACTCATCCTTTACCTCAGGATAGTGAGATGAGGAGGTTGAGTGACACCTCCTTGGGAAGGTTCCATATGGGACGATGCTGTTGCTCTCAGAGGGGTGCGAGGTATGTTGGGCATTGTAGTACGACAGCTCTGTTGGATGTGGGATAGGAATGGGCACAGGCATGTCCATCTGACTTATCATATATGGCTTATGGTCAACATGGTGACCAAGATGATCGTATGATGGTTCATAGGAGACCACGTGATGGTGACTCCGGCTGTTGGATAGGCCCTTCATGGTGAGGGAAAAGGTGGGGGGTGGGTGATAAGAAGTATGATATGAATTAGTAATGCCTGGCAGGCAGAAGGTTGGCAAGGGATGTCTGTCCCTGAGATGAGAGTTCCAGACTCTGGAAGACAGGAAGTCAGAGGAATGAGATAAACAGTTACGATGAGGCAACACAGCAATTCAGATAAAAGGTTGAACTTGGACACTTAAAGCATCTGAATATATACTGGAAAACTGCCTCTTCAGTTTTGCTATTACTTTATGAAGACCAAAAAAAATCGGGATGACCTCATTTAGATAAAAATATAAAGTATCTGTGAGCAACGGAATAGTGGGGGGAAAAAACCCACTATTCCAAGAAGCAGTTACTTCATAAGTTTGAATGTTGTTATAATACAACAGTCTGTCATGGATAACTGCCAGTCCATCGCTCCACTGACATTTATTTAAATCCTATCATTCACATAACAACTGAAATAAAGTTATGATAAAACTCCATACACAAAGACATCACTAACCACTAGGGTTCAAAACAAAGATCCTCCTTTTGCTGAAAGGTAAGGTGCATTAAATATTTTACCACCACTAATGAAAAACTAATTGAAAAAAGAAGGAAAGAACCTACAGGAAGTCCCACATTTCTGTCTCACCAGCGAGCCTGCACTCAGACTCACACTACTTTGTCTAAAAATACACTCAGATGACTCAGAGGAGGAAGTGATTCACGTGAATCACTTCAGTGAACTCTTTACAGACGTTGCTGTACGAGACTCCGAGTGTCAGCTACGCCGATCAGTATTTTTGTCTTCTTTCCCCAGTGACAAATAAGCACAACTTTAAGAAATGACCTGAAGACTTTAGATGAACTAATGCATAACCTCTGGAAACATCCAGCCCTGCTTTCATCGTTTTAAACTTAGGCAGTGATGGTCAAGGCAGACAGTTGTTCTATTTGTTGGATTTGATGAATTGTTTTCTTTACTTAGTGTGAATATCACAGTATGAAAAAAATGGGGAGGGAGAAAAGTTTCTGTCCATAGACAACAATGTCTTTTCCCTGTTTCTTTTACTCACATCCACAATCGATTTGAGATGTACGTCAGAATATCTTTGGATATTTTTTTTCCGTTCCTTTCGCCCACTGACTATGATTCAACACAGCTTTTAGAGCAGGGTTGAACAGAGAAGAGTATGGACTTAACCTCCCTCTCTCTCTCTCTCTCTCTCTCTCCCTCTCTCTCTCTCTCCCCCTCCACACCCGCTCCCCCCCCGCGCAGACCTCTCTCTCTCTCTCTCTCTCTCTCTTTCTCAGAAATATAATCCTGTGTTTGTGGCTCCGTATGAAGCCCACAATAGTCAGACACATAGCAGGGAACAGCTCAGTGGTGGGATGTGTGAAAGAGCTGGGGACCAAAACGACCAGCTGACTGCAAAAGAAGCATGAATCATAGCTTTAACACCTATCCTCTCCTGCTCTGTTCCTCACTGACTGCTTAACTTCAGATTGCAAATTCTTGACGTTAGGATTTTCCCCTGCGACAGTCAATCAATCACCGAGAGACATGACACACGAGTTCTTGACCAATCGTGACAAGTATCCGGCTGTACGGAGAGTTAAGCATTTCCCTAATGCAGAAAAATAAGGTCTCACGTTAGTCTTGCGGGCACTATATGCAGTTAAATCTCACATTTCTTTAGGGGATTTACTGTGAATACAAGAAGGTGAGGAGAACAGAGAGCTCACCTCCGCCCTCGTGTTCCTGTCGTCGCCTCACGCCGAGGGACGAGGGAAAACATGCCTGTCCCTGTTATTTACATCGTTTTAAAGGTGACCCTGAAATGATAATGTCATACACTGGTGTAATTCACTCACCTCTGTTAGATCCCCATCTCCATTGAGTTGTTGTTAACTCGATGGGATTGTCATCCCAGTGAAACTCGTCTCACGGGAACTGTCTAAGAAAAAGACAGAAATACAGACATTCAAACAAGACATATTTAGAGAAATCTTGATTCAATTACAGGATTTGTATTCTTGCCAATATAAAAATTCCACAAATAAGAAATGTCTAGTTCCTCTGTTCCAGATTCATTTCTTGACCACTTTCTCCCACAGCTAATGATAGGAAATGTCACCGAGGAGCCTGACTTCTTTCCTCTGCTGATAACCTGATGTAGTTGTTGCCTGGAAACATGCTCATTAGACTCAAGAATATACAAGATGAATGGGTGACATGTGTCAAGTCGAGCAAAGCCTTGTTTGGTGATGGTGGGATCACAGCACAGACCGTGGTTTTACATTTTCAGCTCAGTCTTGGCATCACTAAGGTTTATATGGTTCTCTTAAACCCTTTGACAAAAGTCATCGTTTCACCGAGGTTACAACTCTCTCCCCGTCTCTCTTTTTCTTTCTGTCTCCTCTCCTCAGTGTCTATAAAAATGATCCTCAGAGTGGGGAGTTTTAGCGCCTGAACACAGTGTTACGTAAGCTACAGAACAATAGCATCATCGCTGTTCCGTTGTGTCTTTGTGAACTGCTGCTGCCTTCTCATTTACTCAGCAGAGCACGATACAGACAGCAGAGGACAGTGGTGAATTCCTGACCATGTGAAGGCAGAAATGACATGATCCATGTAAATGAGCTAATTATATAGGTCTATTTCAGTTGTTTGTTGAGGACTGGGTACAGATCTCAGTGTTTCCGCTAAGATATTTTAAAGCCGGCGGCAGCAGGTTAGCCACCACACGCTGTTCTGTCACCTTCACTGTTCCTGCCAGACTATTTCTGTGATCCTTCTAATGTGGTAATAACAGGTATTTCAATTTACTAGACGTCATAGACATACACACAGACTGACACTGGCTTCATTCAGTTCCAATGCTTCCCCTATATGTATATTATGACAAGTAGTAACTTCAGGAGCGTTACTTTAAAAATGTATTCTACTGTGAGTGTAGAGCAAGTAACATGGATGATATTGAAAGATTGACCGTCAGAATTTAATAAACAAAAACAAAACTTCAGACTGGCCAAGTCTCAAAATCCAACTATCCACTTTTTCAACAAAGGCTGGATTGATCCAGCGAATGACCTTAGTGCTGTTGTCCTTCAGCAAAACGAGTCAATCTCCAGTGGTAAGGGCGGGGTCTATATAAAGTTTTCATGTTCTCCCAGGATTTCTCCTGGGTTCTCTGGTGTCCTTTCCTACTCCAAAAACATGCAGGATTAGGTCAGAGAATACAGTATTGGACAAGTTAAAAATATCTGTGTTGTAGCTTTAAAGCTTAACAGACTTGCCGCCTGCATTAAGTGGGTCCAGTGCAGCCTTAGAATTACAGTAACCACAGCAACTGTCATTTGGCACACTTTCTATCTGCTAAAAAAAAAAAATAACCAGCACGTACACAGGTACATCACAGGACTTCTGCAGCAGCTCAGTGTGCCAGCTCATGTGGAGAAGCAGAATTCAGCTTCCTGCCAGAGTTAAGCTCGTCTTCTTCTGTTACCCTTCACCAACAGATGTTTAATGTCCTTCAGCAAAGCTCTGTGTATTTGAACTGCTTCGGTTGGGATGTTTTACTGAGTAAGATCTGTTTGAAGATGCTTCTGAAATCATCAACTGAGCCTTTAGTCAATCCAACATATCCTCAGAGAAGAACAGCAAAATCTTTTAACTCTGCCAAGCTATTTGACTGCTGAAGAGATCGACGTTTTCAAGTGTACTTGTTTTAGCTATTTGACTGCTGAAGAGATCGACGCTTTCCATGTGTGTTGTTCAAGTGTATTTGTTTTCTTTGTGCTGTTTTTTCTGGTTCATTATCATCCAAGTAAAATTCTGCCCTTTTCTTCATTTAATATTAATTTCAATTTTTCTGGCTCCTTTTACTCGTTGGTGTTGGTCTGTTTGTATTTTTAACATTAAATATTAATTTCCCTTCAGCAAAATAATTAAAATAAAAACAACTAAGAATAATATTGCTCACACATGTTCAAAGAGACTACGAGGAAAAAAGAAAGGTAGAAGCATAGGAGAGGTTTACTGTCATACAGCACAATAATTCATTCAGGCTGGGATATCCCCATGATATACTGTGCCCTACTTTGTGCGTTAGCAGAAATCCCAAGTCTCCTGGAAGTTCCGGGAGTTTCCTGCACACTGACAGTGACTCCCTGATGACTGAAAATTAAATAAAATATCCCTGAATCTGGAGCGAGCAGGAACGCACATGCAAGGGAGAGAAAGAGCGCAGTGTTACATGCACATGACAGATAGAGTGGGAGAGAGAGAGGGAGAAACTGTCACCTCCACCCTCACTGTGAGGTCCCAGAGATAACTGGAGATAACACAGACCTATAGTTCTGTGGCACATTTGAAATGACAGAAATTTTAACAGTGCCGAATACGATTAAAATAAACAAATAAATATACTGGAGTTTAAAGACGTCATTTTTGCAAAATATTCAGTGTGCAGTCGGGGTGCCACGGTTCACACGTCACGGTTCAGTTCAGTAAGAGTGCAATGCTATGAAAAAAAGCACATTTTACATTTGTTTTCATTCACATTCAACAGAATGCAGTGCATCCCACAGTCTACCACCAAATATGGAAGAGTCTGAGATTATTATATACTCCTTAGATCCACCTTTGTGCTAATGAAAATAAAAGGAAGAAGTCAAAAATGACCGACAAAGTGTAAAAGCATCTCATAAAAGACAACAAATACAAAACAGAACGAAGGTTTTGAAATATAAATGTTTGTATTTGACGCATTTACAGCTGCCTTAATCTAAACGGCAGCTTCATCTAATTTTTCCATCTCTAAAGAATAGAAAAAACTGCTACTACACCGGAGCTGGATTGAGCTCAAAGGTGCATCATTGCTGTTAAAATATATTTGTGATCGGGGTGACGCCCTCTGGTGTGCATTGGCAGGTCAGTCAACGGGAAAGCTAGAATTTTACTAGGAGGCGGATTTAAATGATCTTCTAACTCCTGTGAACATTCAAACTGTTTTGAGTTTTCTTCTCCTGCATTTGTTTCAATGGCAGGAGGTAGGCAGCTCGTTACAGTCCCCTGGAGTGCAGCACGGGTACTGCCATCACTAATTCTATCTTCCACTGGGTCCAGGACGAAGAAAGATGCCATCACACCCCTAGTGTGTTGTTTCTGTAGTTTGACCGAATGACTGAAGCTACTGAAATATTTAGTGTCAGCAACTGTCCACTCTTCTTTGGTTGGTTGATTACATGAGTCTGAATACTCTTCTGAGGAAGGGCAATTGTACAAATGCCTATTTTGTTAATTATTATCTCCACTAATATCTTCTTCTCTGCTTACCTGATGCACAAACGTTTGGTGAAACCAAATGAGGGAACTGGGTGTACTTAGGTGTATTGCGATGAACTATATATAAATATATATAACCCTGGGTTGTGCAGATTAGCAGAAACACTTTTGCATTTTGTATTTCTGCCTTTTCTCTGCTGCTACAGCCTCCTTGAACCACCCTGCTGTCCTTCTTTTAGCTTGGCCGCTGTAGAGAACTACAGAATGGACTATGTTCCACATGAGGAGGGATATAAATTATGGATGTTGTGCACTATTTTGGTGTCTGATAAATTAGTGTGATACTAAATTAAACAACATGTAAGTGGCTGCATTCTCATTGAAATCAGGCAGAAATTGAAAAGAGATGGTGACTTATTCTCTATTTCTCCCTAGTTTGGCTACATGGCTCATTAACCCACTCCACACACAGGAAGCAGTGAAATGGTCCCTTAGGTTTCCTAAAATAGTACGGCTGCATTGTTTTTACAAAATGACTAGATGTTCAACTTTGAACAACATCTTCTTCTGGTTATCCCAGAGACTCACGTTATCTAACCAAACATTTGGTTTTCAAATCTGACGTTAAATCTGTAAATCCGAAATAAAAACGTCATCACAAAAGATTTCCAAACACGATAAACCTCATAGTGTTAAAATGACTGCATTTAAAAATTGTTGAACTTTTGGAATTAAACGTACAATTGTCCCTTCCAAATATATACAATTTATAATCACTACAGAAGAAATAAAAGCAAATTAAATTTATCTATGTTATTCTATTTTCTTACACCTCTATTATAGAACATCATTGGAATTGGTGTTTTCCCAAGTATGGATGCATTCCTGAAAGAATACCACTATATAGGAGGAGGAAGGAAGGAACTTTATTGTCATATCACCAGAGGTGATACGAAATTATAAATACAATACAATGTGAGGTTGTAGAAATCCGACATGGTGAATGGGCACAAAAAAATGTATGAAAGTAGAAATACTGTGTGCAGGGACACACAGGGACCACTTTAAGCATTACCCAGGGCCAAAGAGTCACTCAGCTGTGACAGAACGTAGTTCCATCTGAAGGTGACTCTCCACTTTCACTTAACAAAGACCGTTGCAGTCCTCTGAGACTTGTTACCAACCAAAAAAAGGATCATGTCTGTTTCCGGGCTCTGCTTTTCTCTCACTGTGACACAGAGTGACATGGATCAACTGGGACAAACATCGTCCTCCGTATTTTCAGTCACCTAGCTGACCTCCACTGATCAGACTACACCAATACAGACAAAATGTGTAGATACTTTGGTATTTTACCGTAACTACAGTATGAAGACAGATGTGCTACTGAAGAAAGCAGTGAAGAACAGCTTGGTGTCCAACTAAGATTTAAGTGTCATTTCAAACTATTTTAAACTATTCTAGTCCAGAGTCCAATCACTCCATAATTAATTATTCCTGTTTCACTGCCACTGATTAAATTAGAATTTTCCCTGTCAGAACTAGAACATTTTCTCACGTCCTCCTTCCCTGTTATATTGCTAGTGTTACTAACTAGGTCTTCAACGACACAATCTCCAATCTGTCCATCTCTTACTTCGGCCCTACACTGCTCTTTTCCGTGGTCAGCAACCTCCTCATTCCTAATTTGTTCCCAGTTTGACTGTCATCAAGCCATGGGGGTACAATAGTCAATGTAAGATTGTCTAATTAACCTAGACATGAATGTTCAAGTATCTGGAGAAGACCCCAGAGTCAGTTCCCCCCTAATTGAGGAGGGATGTGATTAAGTTGTAAAATAGCTCAACATGCCTGTGTCACCCACATCATTTGTTAACTCCTGAAGAATGAACTTCTTAAGAATATGAGGATTAAACTCACTGAAGCGACACCATGAAGATTCTCTCATGTCGTCTCTGCTGCTGCTCTTCCCACACTCCTGCCATGAGCTCCCTGTCGTCTTGAATTAGAAACATGCGTGGTCTCCGTATGCTTTCATTCTCAGCCACGGGCGACAAGTGACGTGAGCGCCGCACAACTTCTCAGCCAGGCACAGACGGTTTGGGTAGACGCAGACTGCAGCCCGCAATAGCACTGGCAACCGACCTGACTCTCTCAATCCCTCTCTGTCTCTCTCTCCCTCTCTGTCCTTTGGTATCTTCCTGGAAATATCACATTTAAATACACACAGAGGTGAGAATCTGCAATAAAAAATTCCACAGTTTTTATTCTTTCCAGTCGTCTTGCCATAACCTGTCCATCAGTCCTAACCTTGACCAGAGCAAAGTTAAATCCCTGCCTCAATCCAATGCCTTAAAAATCGGGTCTTGGACCGTTAGGCTGAGATTTATGCCCACACGAGGACCCAGAGTCGGTGCTGATACCACAGCCAAGGAAAAACAAGGCAACGCGTTTCAAAGCACGCCCACGCGCAGAGGCAGCGGCTGAGCATCAGTGCGCGCTAGCTGCGTGGTACAAGTCCGAGCGTCACGGCTTATATTCATGACCAAACTTTAAATACCAAGACATTACGCGACTCCTTGTACGTGCACGCACGGGTGAATGTCTCTATAGGTATTTCACAATTGCGCGCCATGTTTTATGTCACTGGCTCAATGACATTACAACATCCTCAGAGGCCAAGGAGATCCAGGAGGGAGTTGACAGACAGCTGCAGCGCCAGGATGCGACTCACCGCCGCGGACGCGTCTGCTGCTTCTGCCGCGGAGGCGTCACGGCAGCTGTGGAGAGCGTTTAACGATGTGACAAAGACCAGCGCGTCCCTGCTGCTCTGAGTCATTAGACAACATGCAGTGGTTGTTGTGTTCAGGCTCAGCTTACCTGTAGCGGTTTCTCTCTCACTCCATCGCTGCTGCCGCTTCGTGCTGCTCTTACATCCAAACGCACGTCCGAATCTGGAGGAGGCGGCAAGCGGCGCGCTGAGCTCACAAAATCACTGGAGGAGTGTGAGTGTGTGTGTGTAAGCATTCCTCTATGTGTGCGTTCGTGCGTGTGCGCGTGTAATTGTGGGGGCTTTTGAGTGGCGTTTGGCTGCGGCAAAAAGCTAACCACACAAAATTGTTGTAAAACCGGAAACGAGGGTGAAATACCTCTACAAATAAGATGCCCATGTAAGACGCAATGTCGAAAGTTATAAGAAAATATTTTATTACAATAGTAAAGTGTTTTATATGTTTTTGCAGATAATTTATTATTGTGAAATTCTAAAGGATGTCAACAGGTCACAACATTATCCATTTCCTCATCTCAGGAGTGGAATCTTCTTCCTTTGCAATTAACTTTCTTCTGTGACCAAAGTAAACACTGACACAAGTCAATGCCAGACAAAAAATGTAATGGTACAATTCACTACAAAGTTGTTGGAGAAAGACAGGTCTTAACATTTATTAATGTTAAATCAGATTAAGACTATGAGCTATGTGTGTGGATGGTGTGGAAAAGGGCAGCCCAATTCTGCATAATTTTAAATTTTACAGTTCTGTGTCATTTCATTGGATTAACCTAACATCAACAATAAAAGAAACTGCATGTTTACAAATATGATTTTATTTTGAAGGTCTAAAAGGAAGTGTAATTTGTGAACACAATTGATTGCAGCACTTTAGCATAACTGTTAGACGAGCACCAGTTCAAGACTTATTATAATTTTTCTCTACTTTTTCAGCATGTCTTCCTCCAATATGGCTATTATTGGACTGATTTTAATTCATGCGCGCAAAATATTGCCCCTGTTAGAATCCAGGTTAAAGTGTGTTAGCATGTCTGCAGGTTTAAATTCTGTTTCGCTGCTATCATTTTTTGATGACACATGGTGGCAGCAGAGTTCAGAAAGAGTGAAATTGTTATCGTTTTAGACAACTTCTGTAAAGAGCAGAGTTCAGAAAGAGTGAAATTGTTGAAATTGTTGAAAAGAGTGAAATCAACAACTTCTGTAAAATACTTTAAATTGTACAAAAGTAAAGCACAGTTAATAAAAACCTGCGTTGAATTCTTTTTAAGCTTAATTACACTTTTAAAATACTGAAAACATTTGATCTCTTACCTTCAAACGTCGAACTCTCCATGAAAACCGTTCTCACTTATTTGTGTGTTTCCTCTTTATTTGTCGTTAGGTTTGAAATTCTCTCCGCCTCGATAGACGTCATATCCTCTTTTTAACTGTCTTAGTTGGCATTACTACCGAGTGGATCAGTGTATTTAAACATACATTATACACTCATTTAAATAGTTAAAAAACAGAGAAACGAACCCCTACGTAGAGTAACATTTTGACATACTGATCGCTAACTGGCTAACCAATTGACGTCTACTGTACAAACACCTGTTGGGCTCATGTCTGTCTCCTTTGGTGTGGCATGGTACTGTAGGACTCTAAGCTTTTTCTTTCCGGTTTAAGATCGCAGGAATGGCTGTTTCACACAATATATATAAATTAACTGACAAATAATAATGTAAAGAATGTTGGTTACTATTAAATACATGTATGTATTGTGTGATGATTATGATTACCAGTAGCATCTAGACAATTATCACAGGGACACAGAAGTACCATTCAAATTCAGACCCATATATTTTTATTTTTAAGGTTTTCCCATAATAATTTTTTCAGTTAATTCACCTTGCATCCTTCCATTGTGTCTTTCACCTCAAACTGCTTTTGTATCGATGAAGGACAGAAAAGCAGGAGAGTGGGAGGAGTACCCTTCAAAGCCCTGATAAGGCCACCCCCTCGCCCCCACCCCACTCCTTCTGCTATGAGGGACATACAGAGATCAGAAGTGTCTTTTTGGCGGTTGTCTGTCAGCACATCATCATCGTATTACTCATCTTCCAATCCCTCAGGTTAAAGAATATTCAAAAGAGCCATGTCTCATGGATGGGGATACGGAGCGGCTAACGGTAGGGAGGTGTCGGTTTGACGCTGGTCACCTGAGTTTTAACAAGTTTAATTTTAGGATTCAGCCGGTTTGCCTTTGAGCACAGAAAGTGTATTTGCCAGTTACTTGGTCAAACACACACACACAACTTTAAATTGATAATAAACAACACTTTGACTGGGAAGCTGATCATTTTTATACGTTGACTGGTCAGTGATCCATCCTTTAACGTAAAGGACTTTAAAGTCAATTTAATGTGATTTAATGTGATTTATTATCACATTAAATCAGCTAATAAATTATAGTTATAAAATGTAAAGATCAATAGTCAAACCTGTTGACTAATCAAGTAAGTGGAGAATTACTGAATAATCTAATACACAGCCGATACTTCTGCTGTATTTATTAATATGATCTTTTAATTTTCTACGTAATATACTGTAATGCCAAAACAAAAACATGTTTTATGTATTAATAATGTATTTCAGGACCTGACAAATGGGCTGCAGATTACCCAGTAGCCAATGGACCCAGACAGTCGCCCATCAACATCGTGTCCAGGGATGCTCAGTACGACTCCTCTCTGAAACCACTGAAACTCTGCTACGACCCGTCCAACTCCAACAGCATCCTCAACAACGGACACTCTTTTCAGGTGGACTTTTTGGATGACGTGGACAGTTCCAGTAAGACAAGCTCAATTTGTTTTGTTTGTTTGTTCTTCTCCTGTATTTGTTAATATCTGCAGTAGACTTCATATTTGGTGCTGACTTATCTATCAGTGTTGTTTATGTCTCCACCCTGGTGCAGTGTGTACTGTGTGCAGCAGATAAGAGAGAGTGTGATGGAGTCAGTTCACACTGTCACCACTGTCACCACTGTCACCACTGTCACCACTGTTAACACTGTCAACACTGTTAACACTGTTAACACACCTCAGCGTCAGACAGAATCAGTCTTCACCAGTTGCACATACAACAAATACAACACACATCATTTCATTCCTAAAAAACATACACATCTTCTTTTCACACTGTACTACTACTACTAGCAGTAGTAGTAGTAGTAGTAGTAGTAGTAGTAGTAGTAGTACAGTTTTGGTGAATGTAGGGAACTAATGAGTATAGATTGTTGTCTTATCTTGACCAGCCCTGACTGGAGGTCCCATCTCTGGAACCTACCGCCTCAAACAGTTTCATTTCCACTGGGGGGCCAGTGATGAGAGAGGCTCTGAGCACACAGTCAACGGTGTCAAGTTCCCCTGTGAGGTAACGGAATTTTTTTTTAACTAATTTTTTAATTAATTTAACCATGTTGGGCAGAACTAACCCGACGCTGACCCATCCACATTTTGTTTATTAAATAACAATTTTTGTTAAGATTTGAAGAAACGTTTATTTTTTGCACATCTAGCTTCACCTAGTGCACTGGAACACCAGGTACCCAAGCTTCGGAGAAGCTGCCAGCGAGCCAGATGGACTGGCAGTGGTCGGGGTCTTCCTCAAGGTGAGTCATCAGCGACTATCATTAGTTTAACACACTGTGAATTTGACGTTGACAACTCTGGTCTAAGCCATGATGAGACACTACGATGTCAAATTTATAAAGAAAACCCCAAGATTTTGGCTTAAGATTCTACTGTTTTCCTCTTCATTTTATAGCGTCTGTTTTATATGCAGATTCTATTGGTGGATGTCAAATAGTTTCCAGCTAAATGGCTGTAAAACTTTGGTAAAAGGATTGCTTTGGGCTAATAACCAGATTTGGTCAGATTTAACAGTAGAGCCAGCTGTTTTATTTTTGGAAAGCTCTGCTGACACAAGCATCTGTGGAACACAATATCAAGGTTACAACAGAGAGTGAAATAACAGAGCGTGTATTTTTCAAGTAGCTGTTGCTGCTGCTCAATGTAGGCCCAGTTATTTACATATGTAGCGTTGGTACGCCTCCGACAAAGTAGAGACAGACTGATTTTGAGACAGATTTGAATCAGCTGACTCGTGACCTACTGGATCTTTGTTCAACTCTAGATCGGAGCTGCCAACCCCAGACTCCAGAAGGTGCTGGATGCACTGGAGGATATCAAGACCAAGGTTTGACCAAATGTTCTAACGTCACTGAACTCAATGTTATTGGTTTGAAAATAAAACAACTCTCAGCACTTTCTTTCTGCTGCAGGGAACACAGAGAACTTTTCCCGACTTTGATGCCAAGACTCTCCTGCCAGGCTCTCTGAATTACTGGACCTATGACGGCTCCCTGACCACACCCCCCCTGCTGGAGAGTGTCACCTGGATCGTGCTCAAGGAGCCAATTAGTGTCAGCCCTGTACAGGTAATTAGGAGACCCCCATCAATGAGGGTCTTTACCAAACATGAAGTCTCAGATTGTCTCTCTGATGTATCTGCATGGATGAAAGCTGAATTTCTGGTCTCTCCATCACCTTCACTCTGTGTGTTTTGGTTTGGTCAGCTGGTATAAACAGCTGATGTAGTATCTAACCAAAATGTCCCTTTTCCCCCTGCCTCCTTTTCTACCCCCATTTTTCCCTCCTCATCAGATGGCCAGGTTTCGCAGCCTCCTCTTCAATGCAGCTGGAGAATTTCCTTGTTGCATGATGGACAACTACCGGCCTCCTCAGCCTCTGAAGGGTCGCCAAGTTCGTGCATCCTTCAAATGAAACTTAGGTCTGTCAGAACGTCAGACGCAGTACGTTTCTAATCTTTGTGACATTTTTAAACGTAGAAAGTGTGCTTTCTTTTACAGTAGTTTGTAGAATACTCCAAACCAAAATACCAACGACATATTAGTGGTACCCGCATGGTTGTGGGATCGAGTCCAGACCTGGTAAATTTGATGATGTTCCGAAACGTCTACATTCAATGATCTGTCAGTCTGAATAGATCAATAGTTGCTAATATTGATATATTATTTTGTTATTCTTTTGTGCTGTTTGATCTACTTTTAAAATGTCATTGTCTTTGTACTTAAAGTTGCCATGAGTTAGTGTGTATCCTGGAACACTTGTCTTAATAAAGAATAAAAATATTTTGTGTGAAATTGAGGTCATGACATGAATAAGAATAAAAAAGTAACAGAGAGAGAAAGAATAAAATAAGGACTTATAAAGTTTTTTTAACTCATTTTACACCTAACGACCAGCCCTGACCAGCCTGCAGTGACTAAATGTTAACACCAGGTGAAATGAGCTACAGATGAGCAGGATGGGCGGGGTCGTCTTACTCTTATCATTAAAGAGACACAGACACGAGGTACGGAGTCTGTACGGTTCCTGTGGACGCCACCCAGACAGGCTGATTACAACATCTTATCATTAAAGAGACACAGACACGACGGGCTGATTATCACTCACACATTTGAATAATTCGACCTCTGTGCCCCTCCCTCCCCAACCCCTTGCAATAACTAAATAACTCTCCACTCCCCAAATGGCACCCGACCCCCACTTTGGGAACCAATGCCTTACAGGAAGAAAGTCATCGGTTCCATTCCTGCAGGTCTCTCTGTTTGCAGTTGGATTGTTGTCAGTGTCGTGGTTCTCTACTTTTTAATAAAGTGTTGTTGTTTACAAAAGTGACCGACGGTCGTCACGATGTGTCAGTGTGAGAAAAACAGCAGAATTTCAGTTAGTCTACAGACAGACGTGTGATTTAGCAGATAACGTCTTCCCATTCACCTGAATGGACTCCCAGCTGCTCAGGTCAGACCATGATGAACCCTCCGTGTCAATCCTACACCACACAGCTCCAGACCATGATGAACCCTCCGTGTCAATACTATCCCACACAACCTCCTCTCCTCCCTGCTTAACAGCAACGTATGCCGTTGTTGCCATGGCCTGATAACAAGTGTAACCATGGCAACTGCATGTTCACCTCAGGAAATATAGAAAAGAAATATGAAGGCATGCACGCCTCCTTCAGACCAATCTACATGACTCTAATCCCAGGTGTTGGACAACAAAGATTCTTAGGTCGTTTGGTTCCCGACACGGGGGGCGCGGTGCTATTACAGTGTCAGTGTAGGAAAATACATTTCAATTTCAGGTTTTTCTTTATTTCTGCCACACTGGGAAAACTATGAAAATACATAAATGTATTAACTTAGTTTAATGAACATTTTTAAAATAAATTCTTTAAACAAAACGAGTAATCTGAAAAAACGTATTATTTGACGGTGCTTGGGCTCCATCTAGTGTTCGTAATAGTACAACATAAGTGTCGTGAACATTTTCAAATCACTGACTCGTGCACGCGCTCGTCTGATGAGCAGCTACTTAATGTCAGGTGTGTTAATACGCTGCATCTTGAACCAGTTGGCTCATTCTCCTGTCTTTTTCACGTCCACCTTTCTTCAAACGAGGTAACGTGAGCGTTTCTTAAATTCTAACGTTTTACCGTAGTTTGTTTAAAACAAAAATAAAGGGAAAAACCAGGGTATGTTTGTTTTTGTTTTTTTAAGGGGAAATGAGCAGCTTTGAAAGTGACCCAGTTGAATTCAAAGTTGCGGACAGGTGACCTCTGTGGACCAGTGATGTATCGGTTCATGTATTTTATTTTGGGACGTTAATGTTTCACTATAAACACTGTAAACGGACAATAACAAATGTATTTGTTTTTGTATCGTAACTTCGAAATATTCTGTTTAATCTCCGTTTTGTACATTAGGATTTTATTTTATTTTATTTAATTTAAGCAACAAAAACTCCGGGGAGCTGAAAGAGGAGCCAGATCTTTTTTAATTTAATTTAATTAATTTATTTATTTTGGGAGCTGAGCCCTAAGAGCCGAACAGAAATCCTGAGTGATGTTGACATAGAAACGTGATCTTTTGTCTGTTATTTTTAATTTATTTATATACATTTGAGATTACTGACATTTTTTTTACATTCAATAACCAAATACCAATAATCCATACATATACTCACTTCTGTCCCATGCACAGGATCAAGATGATTCTTCCAGGACCAAACCGTGTAGGTACCATGCCCAACCCAGGGTTGCAGGACCCAGGTCTGCACACTACTGGTCAGGATCCAGGACCTCCACCTGGTCATGTTCCTGCTCCCCCTGTGTTTTACCTGCCGCCCCCCCCTTTACCCCCGTTACTGCACTACCAGTGGCCCATGCCCTTTTTCTGTAACCCCTTTGCTGGCCTTCCAGGCATGGGTGAGTCAGTCTTTCATTATTCTTCGTCCTGGTGTCTCCATGGTTCTCAGTCACTAATGTATTTTTTCTGCCTGACAGAAATACTGATGCTGATTTTTATTCATTTTCTGCCTTTTGTTTTTGACCACTCAGGCTACGGTATGGCCGTGCCTCCTTTCCCCTCTCCCCTCTACATGGAGGCTCCAACCTACATCCTTCCACAGTCACACATTCAAGCAGTTGACCACAGACGCTTGCTCCACCCACAGGCCCATGCTCCATTCACACCCCTCCAGAACCCAAACCAGCCCCGCAGAGGTCGACCTCCTCCTCCTCCTCATGTGGTACCACGCAGAGAGACGGTGAACTGCGAGGTCCAAACGGAGCCCATAAGTGGAACAGGCTACGGTAGTGGAGCCCTGGTCGTGAACTCAGACTCTGGTCATGGGACGGCTTCGAACTCTTCATCTTCAAGCTCCAGTTCCACGAAAAAAGTTCCAGACGACATCCAGAAATACCCACCATCGAGCAACGCGGACGACTTTCAGTTCAACAGGAATCTCACCAGCACAACTGTCAAACATCACAAATGTACAACCAGAGCCCAGCCCCACAGCAGAGCCACCGTGGAAACGCAGCAGAGCTGTAACGGCAGACTGGGTCAGGAGAAGATTCTGTCCTGCAGGAATGGTCACTGCGACATGTGGTCGGTGAGTTCTCAGGACAGTATCATCCCCATCTGCAGCTCCTTCCAGCAGGAGAGCGAGGCTGCTAAAGAGAGACGAGGCTCCATCCCTGACATCTTGATGAGCTGGGGGGGTCCCACTCCACAATCCACACAACCAAAGCCTCAGTGTGAACAATGGCAGCTTTCCTCCAAAACTGAAAAGTCACTTTGTCAGAACACGGTAGAGATCCAGGCCGATCCACTGGTCGCACACAGTCCTGGCTCGCCGTACGCTCAGCACGTCTTCAGTTCTACAGAGACTGACGCTCTTTTCAAGATAGTCAAACTGCCTGCACCGCTCTGTGATCTTCTCTCAGACACCACAGGAGAAGAGCAGCTGCTGGACTCGAATGGTTCTTTAAAGCACTGCCCTCCCTGCACAGCTGAGCTGTTTGATTCATGTAATGATGAGAGGACCATGGAGAGAGAGGCGGAGGTCATTTCTTCTCAGATAACTTTAAGCAGCTGTCTGTCAAAGGGGAAAACCAACGAGTCCATTTGGTCTGTGGAGTCTCTAGCCCCCTACATTCCCTCAAAGGGATGGCTGCTGCAAAACGGCATGACTGAGCCAGATGTAATTGCAGAGGAACCAGAAAGTTGCCAAGGACTACGGGACTCAGACATGGAGCGTCATTTCATCTTCAGATCTCCTGGGGGACAGAGTCCAGTGAAGAAGACGGACTCAGAAAATGAAGGCTATGCTTTTAAGATAATAAAGAAGAAACAGGCCAATCAGAACCATCGATCGTCTCCTGAGACCCGTGGAGATGAAAGTCCACTCACGTCAGAGCAGGTGGACGACAAAAGGTCTTCTGAACCAGAGGCTTATCAAAGCCCAAACCAGGAATTGTTGATTTTAAAAAGAATTCAGGAAAGTATTCAGCAGTTTTCTGAGGAGGAAGGAACTGATGTGCTGAGCACGGCAACAGAGGAGGGAAGCTTGGCCTCGGACCACCAGGAGGAAGAGGTCGCTCAGGACGCTGAAAACGTCTGTTCTGTCAGAAATGAACAGCTGTGTGTCCCAGTGGCTGAGGATGAGATGGATGTGATGCTGCTGAAGAACAGAAGAGGGCGTTTGGTGGACCTGGGAGTCCAGTGTGAGAATGTGGGATGTTTCTGTGGAAAAGCCAAAGGCAGCGGAAAGCCCGTGGGAAGGCCTCTGCTCCCCTCTTCAGGTGACGCTGTGCTTTATTGGAACATTCTGTTGAGTCATTTCCTGTTTGAACTTGCAGTTTGTCTCACAGACTTGAAGAAGGGAAGTAAAGAAAGGGATGACGGTGGCGTGAGTGGACACGTGCAGAGGAAACTGAAGTACAATCATCAGGGGAAGATCAGGGGAGGCACAGGTGAGTCGCTCAAACATGCACTGATCGTTGTATAACACCGGTCGGTGTGTAACACTTTTTTTTTACGTGCTAAATGTGATTGATAAGTCAAAGAGCTGACGGCCTTTGAATGTCACAGTGGTCATAAATAGGGACGTAAGTTGAGATGTCTGACATTATCGGCTCAATAATTACGTGATTTTTCTAAGAATCGTTATTGGTTTTTCCAATAACACAATGCCTGGGTTTTGCTAAAGGATGTGAGATTTAAAAATTCTTTGGTGATAAACGGCTGAATATTAAAGTGAAAGCCACTAGATGGCAGCATTGCAGCTCATTTAATTAATCTCATACAGAGGTATAAACATCATCACCAACTGAAACTGGTCCTGTGTATGTCATAAACTGAAATTATTTTATTAAAATTACAATTTTAATAGATGATTGGATCTTTATTGTGTATGACATTGATCTGAGCTGCATTGACTGAAAACTCTTTTTTTTTTCTTATTTTCTTTTTTTTTTTTTTTTGTTTCGGGTTTTTTTTTGCTACAGGAAACCGCAGCAGCAAGCAGAGGGGGCTAAGTGGATTCTATAGCAAACCTGGGAAAACTCAAGGTGAGAACCAGATCCAAACAGACTGCTAATATAAACCTAAAAAAGTTCAACTCTTTTCAAACTAGTCCATGAGAATCAGCTGATTAATTAATCAAATGATTAATGCTAGGTTTTTATTCTTTGGCGGTTTAATAACTTGATAATTATTAACAATAGCCTTGACTTACTGGTTTACTAGCTGTAAACAGAATGAGTACTTAAATGCTGTGTGTATAGATTTTAATTTATCTACATTTTAAAGCTCAGACTCAATAGTGATTGTTAAGAAATGGTTTAAAAAAAACTAACATGATGCTGATATGGATTTGATTGGCTAAGCTGTGTCTTCACTCTGGTCTGGTTTGAACTGAGAACGTGCTCATTAGTCTGAGATAACTGCTTCCAGTCCTGATAAAAGAACTTTTAAAAATGCATCATGAATGGAACAAAGATGTTTTAATTTGTTCTTGCTTCTGTTAGGTGCAACAAGAAGGACTCCCCAGTGCTGATCATTATTTTATCCAGGAGATTCTCTTTTTAAAATAAATTTATAAAATTGTTACATGTAATATTTTTCAATAAATATATTTAAATGTTATGATTTATCTTCATATCTGGTACTGCTGAGACCAAGAAATGTTCCCTGCACCAATGCTTTGAACTTTAGGGAAATCTAATCCAATAGACACCAAGATAACTAAAAAAACAGTAAAAGTACTGTTACTCAGATGAAGTTTTACTGACGTACTAGTAAAATTACCAGTCTCAAACATCTACTCAAGTAAAAAGTAGATCAATTAAAATGTACTTGGTGTAAAAGTTACTGTTTTACAGCAGGTGTCGAGAGGCTCTCGTTGTACAAAAAGGACAAGAAAATAAATCTAGATGTTTATTATATTTAAACTTAGCAAAATTAAATGTTCTAATATATATATATATATATATATATATATATATATATATATATATATATATATATATATATAAACAAACATGTCGAAATGTAATGTCTTGTAATGCATTACAAGCAGTACAACCAAGAGTTGAACAGTAAAGAGTGGAAATCCCCAGACAGTGAAGAGGTTTAAAAAAAAAAAACAAAAACCTAAGTTAAAAAAAAAAACTTTAGTAAAAAAAAGTTTTTTTAACATAAACCAAATAAAAAGAAATTAATTGTATTGCAAATAAGCAGAAATAGATAAGGATAAAGCTATAAGTAGGAACAGAAATATGTATTGATTCATCACAAGTCATTTTAAGCTAGAAGCTAAACCAAAATGAAGGATTTTAAATAGTTATACAGCGAATAAATCAAAGGAACACTGTATCAACCTGGATGTTATTTTATTTAAAATCCCTTTTTAATAAACAATTGTGCATTAACATTCTATTGTCTGAAAAAGTCAATAATACTTGGAAAAACCTGGTTTTAATTTTAATTTCCCTTCCCTGCTCATTTCATGTACTCGCCACTTGGTGACGGAAAATAAGAACGCACTTCGTTTAAACACTCGCTTTGTAGTAAAAAA